CGCCGCCCCCCGCAGCCGCGCGCGCCGAGCCGAAAGGGAGCTCCCTGCTGGCGGCTCCGGGGATAAACGCCCGGCCTTCCTGGCAGCCGCTGGGCGCGCGTCCAGAACGGGCCATGCGGGCACCGGGCGCCGCTCCGCGAGCCCCCTTTCCGCGGCCGAGAGGCCCCGCCTGGAGCTCCTGTGTGCACGGGGCGCCGGAGGCCGCTGGGCACGCCCAGGGCAGGCGCTGTGCCCGCCTGTAGAGAACAGGTTCCTTCCAGGGGCGGCACTGGACCCCGTGGGCTGTGTCCAGGAGGGTGCTGCCCAGGGCAGTGCTGTCCGGAGGAAGCACTGGAGTCTTGCTGGTCACATCTTCCCAGGGTGGCTCTGCAAAGGCGGACACAGGGCGCTGCTGGATGGTGCCAGATGGCTCAGTCCAAAGCAGGCACTGCCTGCCTGTCCAAGGTGATACAGGCAGAATGTACGCCCCAAGGCGGACACGGGCTTGCGGTAGCTTGGTCTGAGAGAGCCCTGCCTCAAGTGGGGCTGCCTGAGGGGTGTACCAGGGCCCAGGAGACAGCCCTCAGGGGCACTCACTCCCCAAAGGAGTCAAACAATGCTCAGATTAACACCTTTTAGAAGCTTTTTGGAACGAGGTCTGCCCCGGGTTGTCAGGTCCTGTAAACATCCAGTGAACTGCTCTCACCAAGAAGGCATTTTAGACGTCCTGGGAGAGGCCAGACGTGTTTGAAGAGCAGGCCTCCAAGATAGGTGCTGTGTCTTGAGTTTGGAGAGGGAGAGGTAGACACTTCTACAGGCAGTGTCCTTACTGGAGTGGGGTACCCTGGAATGTGAGAGAAACTGAGCAGCGTGGTTGGTGTAGGAAGAAGGGCAGCCCCCTCCATAGTTAGCCCAGCTGAGAACTTCTGTAGACTGGGGTGGCCCAACCTGACAGATCAGGGAAGGTTGGAGCAGGGGGGCCCAGGAGCAAAGGGCTGAGTAAGAGCTTGGAGATCCTGAGGAATAGACCACACCCAGGATGTGCATTTTGCATAAAGGAATAGCAGGCCACCCAAACTCAATTAAACAGACTTTTACTGAGAGGCTGCCAAGTGCAGCACCCGGTACTCTGGGGGACACTGAGAAATCAGACATGCAGCCTCTCTTGGTGGGACTCACATGGAAGCGTGCTGCGACTGTAGTAAGTAGGATGCACCATGCTGTCATCCCTAGGAGGAGATAGTGCTATGATGGATGGCAGGTTTGGCTGGAGGAGTGAAATAAAGTTGCTCTGAGACCTGGTATTGAATGAAACCTTGGAGGCCGGGTTGGACATGCTATCATTACTGCTTCCTGAACACCTACTATGTGCTAAGCACTATCTCTATTCCTCACAACAAAACTATGACAAAGAGACTATTATTATAGATAGGGATTGAGTGCATGGACTCTGGGGTCAGGTTACCTGGGTTCAGATCCCTGTCAAGTACTAGCTGTGTTGCCCTGGGTGATTTATAAAACCACTGTAAGCCTCAGTTTGCTTATCTGAAAAATGGGGATAAATAACAGGGCCTGCCTCAAAGCTTATTTTGAAAATTAAATGAGTTTAATTTTCAACAAATGGTGCTGGAACAACTGGATATTCACAGTCAAGAAAATGAATCTAGAAACAGACCTCACACCTTTTACAAAAATTAAAATGGATCATAGACCTAAATGTAAAACACAAAACTATAAAACTGCTAGAAAGTAACATAGGTGGGAACCCAGATGACCTTGGGTTAGGGGATGATTTTTTTAATTTTTTATTTTTTTAATTCCAGTATATGTAAATACAGTGTTCTGTTTAGTTTTAGGTGTATAATATATTGATTCAATAATTCTGTACATTACTCAGTGCTCATCATAAGTGTACTCTTAATCGCCTTCACCTATCCGCCCCCCGCCAATCTGGTAACCATCCGTTTGTTCTCTATAGTTAAGAGTCTGTTTATTGGTTTGTCTTTTTTCTTTGTTTGTTTGCTGTGTTTCTCAAATTTCACATATGAGTGAAATCATATGGTATTTGTCTTTCTCTGGCTGATTTATTTCACTTACCATTGTACTCTCTAGCTCCATCCATGTTGTTGCAAATGGCAAAATTTAATTCTTTTTATGGCTGAATAATATTCCATTGTGTATACATACCACCTCTTCTTTGTCCATTCATCTATCCATGGACACTTGGGCTGCTTCCATTGTTTGGCTATTGTAGATAATGCTGCAATACACACACGGGTCCATATATCTTTTCGAATTAGTGGTTTCATATTCTTTGGGTAAAGACCCAGTAGTGGAATTACTGGATCATATGGTAATTCTATCTTTAATTTTTTGAGAAACCTCCATACTGTTTTCCAGGGTGGCTGCACCAGTTTGCATTCCCACCAACAGTGCTCGAGTGCTCCTTTTTCTCCACGTGCTGGTCAACACTTGTTGTTTCTTGTGTTGTTGATTTTAGCCATTCTGGCAGGTGTGGGGTGATATCTCTTTGTGGTTTTGATTAGCATTTCCCTGATGATGAGTGATGTCAAGCATCTTTTCATGTGTCTGTTGGTCATCTGGATGTCTTCTTTGGAGAAATGTCTGTTTATGTCTTCTTCCCAATTTTGAATTGGATTATATGTTTTTTTTGGTGTTGAGTTGTATAAGTTCTTTATATAGTTTGGATACTAAGCCTTTATTGGATATGTCATTTGCAAATATCTTCTCCCATTCATTAGGTTGCCTTTTAGTTTTGTTGATTGTTTCCTTCACTGTGCAGAAGCTTTTTATTTTGATGTAATCCAGTAGTTTATTTTTGCTTCTGTTTCCCTTGCCTCAGGAGACATATCTAGAAAAATGTTGCTACAGCTGTTGTCGTGGTGATGATTTTTACATACAACACAAAAGGCATGATTCATGAAAGAAAAAATTGATAAGCTGAACTTCTTAAAAATTAAAAACTTCTGCTCTGAAAAAGACAATACTAAGAGATCACAAGCCACAGACTGGGAGAGAGTATTTGTAAAAGACACATCTGAAAAGGACTGTTATCCAAAATAGACAAAGAACCTTTAAAATTCAACAATAAAAAACCAAATAATCCTATTTAAAAATGGTCCAAAGACTTGAACAGACACCTCACCAAAGAAGATACACAGATGGCAAATGAGCATTTGAAAAGATGCTCTATGTCAGATGTCATAAGGAAATGCAAATTAAAACAACAGTGAGATTCCACTACCCACCTATTAAAATGGCCAAAATCCAGAACATGACAACACCAAACGCTCTCAGGAGGTCTGCACCAGGAAGTCTTCTTCATTGCTGTTAGAAATGCAAAACTGTACAAGTCACTTTGGAAGACAGTTTGGCAGTTTCCTACAAAATGAAACATACTCTTACCATATGGATCCAGCAATTGCACTTTTTGTTATTAATCCGAATGAATTGAAAACTTATGGCCACACAAAAACCTGCACACAGATGTTTATAAAACCTTTATTCATAATTGCAAAAATATATAAGCAACCAAGATATCCTTCAATATCTGAATGGATAAACTGTGGTAGATCCACACAAGGGAATACTATTCAGCACTAAAAAGAAATGAGCTATCAAGCCATGAAAAGACAAGGAGGAACCTTAAATAGATGAAAGAAGCCAATCTGAAAAGGCTACATACTGTGTGAGTCCAACTCTACAACATTCTGGAAAAGGCAAAACTATGGAGACAGTAAAAAGATCAGTGGTGGTCAGGGGTTGGGAGAAGGGAGAGATGAATAGGCACAGCACAGAGGAGTTTTAGGGCAGTGAAACCATACAATATGGATACATGTCATTATACATTTGTCCAAACCTATAGAATGTGCAACACCAAGAGTGAGCCCTAATGTAAACTACAGACTTTGGGTGATGATGCTGTGTCAATATCAGCTGGTCAGTTATAACAAACGTACCACTGTTAGCGCAGGATGTTGATACCGGGAGAGCCTGTGTATGTGTCGGGGCAGAAGGTATATGGGAACTCTGCACTTTCAGCTCTATTTTGCTATAAACCTAAAATTACTTTTAAAAATAGTTGGGGCACCTTGCTGGCTTAGTCGGTTAAGCATCTGCCTTCAGCTCAGGTCCTGGGATGGAGCCCCGCATATGACTCCCTGCTCAGCGGGGAGCCTGCTTCTCCCTCTGCCTCTCCCCCTGCTTGTGCGTTCTCTCTCTCCTCTCTCAAATGAATAAATAAAATATTTTAAAAAAAGAAAAAGAACAGTGCCCAGCACATAGTAAGCATTTTGTAACTGTTAGCTTTATTATCACATCTTCCCTAATTCATAGCTATGGAAACTAAAGCACAGACAGACTTGTGACTTACACAGCCTGCGAGCAGCAGAGTCAGGATTCAAACTGAGCTCCCCAGGGCTCCAAAGCCCATACCCTTCCCCCTACAACGTGACAGGGGATGAATAGGCATATTAACATGTTTTACTTTTGTGTGTCCACATCTAGGGTGCTCCTGGGGTCGCACCGAGGTTCTAGCTTGACCCAGGAAGCAGTTTTGGAGACCAGGCTGGTTTGA